GAGAAATACAGGGTTAAGTGTGTCACTGAAAAAATAGAATACATGGCATAAGAGCAGCTCTCTCATGGAAAAGGTTTTTTTAAGCTTATTAACAACAAAAATTTGTGTTTCTCATTATTTTATAAACATATACATATGCATATATATTCATATATAAATCCATACATCAGCATTGAGATGTGCTATGTCCCTTAACCAATGATTTTCAAATTATAGTCTCCATCAGCAAATTTGTTGACCCTTCCCAGACATACTGAACTCAGCCAGAGGATTCTGATGCAAAATGAAGCTGTGGAATGATGCTCTAATCAACTGGCTCTCAACCCTGGCTGCCTTTTGGAATCAGTAGGAAACTTGGGCCTCTGGATTACGTAGGCCCTATCCCCAGAGACTTTAATTGGCTTGGAGTATGTTCTTGGACAAGAAATGCTTCTTAAATTCTTCTAGGTAATTCTAATTCAAATCCAGGATTAAACATCAGTGCTGTAACCTACTCAGATTGTCTTAGTCTTTAAGGCCAAATAAAAGTAGTATTCAAATCAACTACAGCCCATGAATGATACTGAACTTCCTTCTCAAAATCTGTAGAGAATCAGGTTTAAGTCTCTCTTTGTCTTTCCATGCACCCAACTCCTAACACAGATGGAAGAGGTTGAGCTCCTTCTACAGCCTGATTCAAGGCCAGCCTGGTCTACACAGTGAAATCCAGGCCAGCTGGGGCTACAGGAAGACTCTGTCTCAAAATGACAAATAAAAATATGTTTCTAAGATGATAAAAGAGTACATTGAACTAACAACTTCACAATTAACCAAAGAAAATAATAGATGATATTAATAATTAGCAAAATACATCAGCACATTCTTTAAGCAAAGCCATGAGTTAAAAATCAATGTGAATTATTTTAGTTAATTTTCAAAATACAGTCATTCCTTTGAATCTATAAGTGACTGATTGCAGAAGCGATTGTGATTGACTTCCTGCTGATGCCAAACTTTATAGACACAGGGTTCCTTGTATAAAGTGACATTATATGTACACATAACTTGGGCACAAATTCCCAAATGCATTCAATCATCCCTAGAATCCATATACTAATTCAGTGTAGGTGCTACGGAAATTGTTTTGCTGTATTGTTTTGGGAATGATGGGGCTAAAATCTGTACACATTCAATACAGACCTAATTTTTAAAAATTTTTTAAAACTAAAATTAGTTGAAGCCACAGATGTGAAACCTCTACATTTTGAGAACTAACTAATTTTTAATCAATGTTGTTATTGAGTATCTGTGTGTTTCATATAACAAATCTTAATCATATTTAGACACCCTCTTCCATTTATACCTCACCTTGGTAGCCCCCCTTACCATATTTCATGCATTCTGTCATATATTTTAAGGCCTATTCAGTCAAGCTTTTGTACCTAGATGTCACTCAGAGCAAGATCATCCACTGGAGTCTAGTCAGCCTATCTAGAGTCACTCCCTTAAAGATCCACTCTCCCTGTGATAAGTCACCTTCTTGACCACAGCTAGGCCATGTTGGAGTCCAGACTGAATCTAGCCTCTGAAAACTAAAAGGCAGTTGGCCCAGGGTGTGGGAACAGATAGGTGCACCTCAGCTGCACCAAGATATGAATCTGAAAACACATCAGCAGGCCTCTGGTTGCCTAGAGAACAAGTCAGCATATGCCTAGTTGCTCCTGCTAACTGCAGATTTATGGCTTCTGTGTTTTCACACTTGGCTGGCTCTTGCAGAATAGTAATTGTTAGAGGGGCTTTCCATCCTAAACTATGGAAATGCTTGGAAACGCAAACTTTTCACCCCAGATGTGCTTTTCCTGTATAAAAGCTTGCCCTAAAGATAGCTCAGGACTGCACTTGGGCCTCAAATGCTTAGTGTAGTCATCAGCAAGCTAATAAAGTCTTTCTTTTTTGGTATGTTCTGTGCCTGAATGGTCTTTCTGGTAAAGCACCCCACAACATCCCTCATCCAGCAATAATCAGTTGCCAATAGTTCCTCACTAAGGTTGGGGCCTGCTGCCCATTTCCCTAGCTCTGTGCTGGGATTTTATCTTATTGAATCAACATGAGTATTGTGCCATTGCTGCAAGTTCATAAGAACAACTTCCCAGAGGCCAGTGAGCCTATTTCCTTGGTTCATGCAACAACTCTCTCCCTCAGAATCTTCCTGTCCCCATCTTCCTCAATGGTCCCATCTGTTTCCTGGGTGTGCTAGAAGGGATGAGCTCTCAGCTTCCAGCTCCTGCTGCCATACCTGCCACTTGCTGCCATGCCTCCCTTGCTGCCCATGAGGGACGCATCCCTCTGGAGCCATAATCCGAAACAAACTTCCTTGTGTAAGTTACCTCAGTCGTGGTGTTTTATCACAACAGAAAAACAACTAATACAATAATGAAAGAAAAATTATAGTGTATCACTCATAGGTGTTATTTCAGAAAACTTTTTCCTGTCCTGTTGAGGTAGAACACGGTAGACCCTACTCAGACCCAGACAAGCACCTGAAAAAATTCATTAGGGGCCAAAAAATAACTAGAAGGAAAGTAAAGCAAGTGATCATCCTATCCCAGTGGAGCTGGAAGAATGAGGGAGATGACAATTTTCAGGTTCTTTGAAAAAGAAACAAAAGTAGCCAGGTGTGGTAGCACTTGCCTGTAGGTCTTTAGTCCCAGCACTCAGGAGGCAGAGGTAGGTGATCTCTGTAAGAACAAGGCCAGCCTGGTCTACATAGTAAGCTGCACAGTAGCTAGGGTTATGGGGAGACCCGGTCTCAAATAACAAGAAATAAAAATAAATAAAAGCAGATTCTAGAACATGCATTAACCTAACAAATGTCACCTCAAAAGTGGCTGAAATCAGAAAACTACAATCCTAAAGGACCTGACATGTTTGAAAAGAACCCACCATGGCGGTGTGTGATGAGGGTGTGAAAATCACAGCTGGACCAAAGCAGATGTACTAGAAAAATAAAATAAAAGAGCAGTGGTGGTGCAGCATGCCTGCATACCTGAAATGCCAACACTTGAGAGGTAGAAGCAGAAGAATCTAGAGTTCAAGGTCATCCTCATCGGCTTAATGAGATTGAGGCCAGCCTGAACAACATGAGATCCTGTCTCCCCATAGAACAAAGAAATTAAAAAAAAAAAAACAGAAAAAAAAAAAACACTTGAGAGATGGAGATAGAAGAATCAAGAGTTCAAGGTCATCCTTAGCCCCGACAACAAAGAAAACAAAAACCAGAAAAAAAAATTTTTTTAAAAAACACATTGGTCAGCAGTGACCAGGAGCTAGCACACTAGAGAGCTTCTTTTATCTCAGTCAGAAGGTACTGGTTTGGGAGATTGGTGCTTTGGGGGGGGGGTGTTTCTGTTGTTCTTTTACACTCCAAGAGTTTTACTGAATAGTCACAGAAACACTTAGCCAGATATGGAGTTTGGTAATATTATGAGGTTGTCTCACCAGAGAAGACCACTCAGACACAGAAAATTGCCAAAAGAAAGTCTTTATAGCTGGGTCAGTGACTACACTAAGCATTCTGGTCCCAAATGCAGCCCCGAGCTGTTCTTAGGGTAAGATTTTATACAGAATAACCATATTCAGGGGTGAAAAGTTTAAGTTCCCAAGATTAGGGGTGGAAAGACCCCCTAACAATTTCTATTCTACAAGAGAACAATTTCTACTCTGCAAGAGCAAGCCAAGTGGAAAGTACAGAAGCCATAAATCTGCTGTTAGTAAGAGCAACCAAGTGCATGCAAATCTGTTCTCAAACCCACACTTTGGTGCACCTGGGTCAAACTTTTCCATTCCAATATTTGAGATAATTGCTTCTAGCTTTAACTACTGGGTTTAGCTGGAACTTCCTTGTAACATGGTTCAGCTATGGTCAGTCTTGAGAAGCCCCACCACCGTAATAAGAAACTATTAAAAGAGATTAGATGGAAGTCCATAAAAGCTTTAGTTTCTTGATTTTTTTTTTTTTTTTTTGTCTTTTTGAAGACAGGGTCTCCCTGTAGCCCCAGCTGTCCTGGAACTCACTATGTAGACCAGGCTGGCCTTGAACTCATAGAGATCCACCTGCCTCTGCCTCCGGAGTGTTGGGATTAAAGGCATGTGTAACCATGCCTGGCTAGTTTCTTGATTTGTAACATTCTATCTCTCCATAATCACAGTGTTTTGGTTAATGAATATCTTGAATCTAGACAGACTTCTTTTTAAATTATTTATTTTATGTGTATGAGTGTTTTGCCTCCATGTATGTAAGTGCACCTGTGTCCTACAATATCCATGGAGGCCAGAAGAGGGTGTCAAATCCCTCGGAACAGGATTTACCATACAATTATTAACCATCATGTGGGTGGTGAGAACAGAACTCAGATCCTCTGCAAGAGCAGCCAGTGCTCTCAACTACTAAGCCAGCTCTCCAGCCCCAGACAGAACTTCTTCCCAAAACTTTAGGTCAAGGAGCTAAATCTCAAGAGTAGTCTTTTCCACATTTGTACATGAGCCAGAATGTTCAAAACCTTTGACCATTTTATAGAGGTGACATTGAGCCCGTTGGTACTTTTTTGTCTATTACATAATCTGTACCACATTGGCAACCACAGAATAGGTTGTCACTGATGTGGGTGAAAGGCAGTTCCCATTAGAATAAATAGGAATCTTTAAAAGTATCTTAGTCAAAATTCTTTGCCTTTCAAGCACTCTCATGTAGCTGTGTTTGGAGAGAATCAGAATGGGAAACTTAGTTCTTTCCAAGTTTTGTCTCTGTGAAATTTTCTGCCATGTGAAAACATCTTGCACTGGTTTGTTTTATTTTTCTTTCTCCCAGACAACTATCAATACCAGAAAGTCTATAGAAATGAGCTTGGAATAAAAAGATTGTTTGTATCCATCAAACCTTTACAATGTAATATCTTTATTCGTTTATTTATTGCAAACAAATATACAGTATCATCTCTATCACAACAGATATTTGCCTACAACATAAGGACCCCAGAGTGGTCTCACCACAGTCTACAAAATTCATCAGAACTACCAAGTGTTGGCACAATGGCACACTCTCTTTTTCCTTGGTCATTCTGATCTTTCTCTGGCGAAAGGTCTCATTCACCTCCCAAAACTCGGAATGGCTGAAATGTTCAAAGGCAGACTGTCAGGGGGCCACCACTGTCACTTTATTCTTGCATCTCAGAATGAAAGAATGAGCACAAAGGGTCCGAAAAGGAGACAGAGAGAGCAATGTTTATAGATGAGGACATTATTTCCACATCAAAAACTTTGATTTCTCCCATATCCACATCCAGGAGAATTCCTACCGGCAAAGGTCCAGGCTTAATTTAGCAAAAATTCTTCCTGCCTTCATGCCAATGATTCACATGATAAATGGATGCTCCTCCTGGTGATTGGTTCCTTACAAACACCAAGAGCCCACTCCTTCCCTTTCCCAATGTCAACTTCCCAATAAAGGCAGCCTGGGGGAAAGCAGAGGCTGCCCAGGATACAGGTCAAGTGGGTGAATCTCCTGGGTGGGATCTTCCATCAAGTTATGGCAGATCTTCTTACCCGAGACACTCCTGAGATCACCGGAAGTAGAAGGCAGGAGCTGGCAGAGGCAACATTCAGGGCCATATCTGCCCAGAATGACCTCAAGACCTCAGTGCTCCACTGTAGTTATTGCTTCAGGAGGGGGCCATGCTGCCTGGGTTTTCTAACTTGCAAGTCCTGCATGAAAAGTTTCTTGTTTTCTTTTCAACACAAGGCACAAGTCACTATCAAAACTTTTTTTTTTCACCCAAGTCTGAATGCAGTTTGAGCAGAACACGTGGGCACAGGATGTGGGGACCTAAAGGCCCCACCTTGCATAGGTCCAAAAGGAAGTTACTGGGGGCGCAGCCTGGCTTGCTTTGAAAGTCTGAAGAATATTTCCGCACTGCTGAGGAGTGCATGATCAGTGCGTGACCATCCTTAAGATACACCCTCAGGGGTGGAGGGGGGCGTTCCAGGTGCCTTTATAAGCTTTGGAACACTTGCAATAAATGAGTCCCAGCTTGACTAGGCTCCCCATTGTATCTGAGTGTCCCCGGGTAATGGGGATGGCATGGGCTGACAAACAGCGTGCTTACTCATCCCCAATCCTCACCTCGCTGGGGGTCACGGGTTCGAGTCCCCAGCATCTGGCACTCAACTTGGCACTCGAAGGAAGGTGAAAAGAAGAAAAGAAAGAAGTAAGAAAAAGAAAAAATGGATTGGGGCCAATCGAGGAGGTTTGGGTAAGCAAGACCCTAAAAATGGGTAACCCAATTTTTAAGTTTGAAGACCCAGCATTTAAAGCGCTGAGAGATATGCTTAAAAGCAGGGGATTGGATTTGTCAGATCCCGTAGCTCAAAAGGTTTGGGCAGAGGCAATTCATTTGGCTCCCTGGCTACTTGGGGCTAATGTTTTTACTGGGGATACATGGGAACATGTGGAAAGTCTAGCTCGACAAAGGGAGGTTCAATTGAGGTTTTTCTGCCGCTGGAGTTCTACCCTATTATTTCAGCCTTAAAGGCATGCTTTCAGCCCGAGAGCCCTAAGCCCTCGGTGCCACCTCCTGACAAGCCTTCAGAAACCCTGGCATGGGAATCATAGGAAGGGTTTGAGGAAGAAGGTAGAAATGCAACAGAAGTGAATCCAAAAAAGCAGCCAAAGTACCAAGCAGCACCTTGCCGTGCCCTGGCCAGCTTCAGGGCTTCCTAAAACCCATGAAAACTGTCCTCATTTCCAGGATTCTGGCCCCACTCAGGAGGCTTCTGTGAGGCCATGGGTAGAAGCGTATCCTATTAATGTAAACCCAGGAGGCACACACTCTGACCCCTGGTATCCCTGGGAGACAAAGGATTTGAAGGAATTAAAAAAGGCAGTGGCTGAGGATAGCCCAGGATCACCCTGGGTAGATACTCTCCTCCAAGGCTTG